ATTAAAGAGCACTGAGGGTGTAGTGAAGATGACAAAGAACACCTGTCTTCGTGGCCAATTTTTCGTTACCACGGTTCTTTCAGATTTAACGTAAGCGTCAGAAATATGAAAACGTTACGTAAGCACGATTGAATACCACTCATCATCAATGAACGGGCTGTCGAATGTGTGATACTAGGAGTATCTCCCATCACGCAGTTGAGGAAAGGGATCCACAGCTCGGATCTACGTCAGCGAACAGTAGTTAAAGATACCGCTCTTTGCGACAAGCTGTTTAGACCAAGAAACCAAGTGAAACCGAATTGGTTGGCTGGACACGTAATGTGTGTTACCCACAACCGATAGACAAGAGGCGTTAGTGAATTGATTCCTCGAGATATTATACGTACTGTGGGAGGACAACCGACCCAAGTCTGAGCTCCCCGCGAAAACCTACGAAGAAAGATGTGATGCTCTACGAGTTCCTAGAGCAAGCAGAACCCAATGGGATACTCTTAGAAACGATAGGGTAGATGGAAAATTTATTGGTGCCCGCTCGAGTCACTCGACGACTAACGGGAAGACAGGTGACACAGGTTACATTGTTAACTGGGCAGTTAACCGGAAATATGTTATCGATTTGCCTAGGTAAACAAACAAAACACAATAACAACAACCAATTTCATTTGCTTCTTATGTGGGCCTAAGGAGGGCCGTTGGGGTCAGATTTATCGATGCCATATGACTGCCCTCCGAGACGGCTCAGCGTAAGTCCACGCCGTTTGAGAGCATAGTCCACATCCACAGCCGTCACCGTCTTTCTCCTCGCCTATACACTGTAGATCATCGCATCCCGTATCACGTTTTTGACGAACACCTTCAGAACCTCCCGAATTTCTGAACATTCAAGCCTTGAGATGTGCATCGCACCAGTGCGACGAGCCAGACGTCGAATTACCTGCTTGGCCATCCCTTGCCTGCTGTTCTAGAGCACTTCACGATGTCGCTTGGCGCCTCCTTTACCTTGCCCTTTGCCTCCTTTTCCATGCCAAAACATGTTCACAACCGCAGGGTGTCAGGGCAGCAACCGTATGAGAGACATGGCACGGGCGCCTCTTACATAACAGCCCATTGGGTACTCACGCTACACCTCTAATCGATACATATACGAACCGCAAAGTGTAGACTTCTTCCTTGAAAAGCCATGAAATAGGAGGGTTTATGGGCGAAGCGAAATAAAAGCAGCATTGTGGTAAGTCGATTTGAAGAGACAAGGTAGCAGTATTAACTTGAAGAAGTAGAGAATGGACATTGATTATACATGATCAGATTTTAATCCCATTAGCACTATTTAGTAAAGAAATGTCTTCTCACTGGTAACAGCATCTCAAAGTTTTCGACCAACACGTTTTGAAATCAGCTGGTTAAATAGCTCAGACGGAATTCACTAATAGTTAAAACTATGTAATGCTGAGGAAGCTTTCTGGANCTGGAATAATCGGGGAAAAAGAAGACATCATCATCTATGGGCCAATGAATACTGTAAAGGTTTAGTGATGGGGCTTTTGAATCTCAACGTACAGTAGGGATAAGCTAGTCTTGTTAGAACCGATAACTGCCATGAAAGAAATGCCGCACGGTTCCTATAGCAATTTTTGATGTGTTACTGTTTTCACCAGCACCTACGTGTACTTTTGGCTTCAGTGAAAGAATTCTGCAACATTTGCTTTGAGTACACACACCACAATGCGGTGATATAGCGACCGATGAATTCGCTGTTATGACTGCGTTTGAACTGGAATCTGAAAAGAAAATAATTAAGCAATTCTTTCGCAATTCCTAATTGATTCGATCTTCTCCGTAGGATTTGATAACAGCCGCGAAGGTTAAAAGCTCCGAGCGCTGACCAATCCCTGAGGGATGCGCCATGCATTCAACTTCATTAAGTATCGCTGGAGGTGGTTGAATGCTTATCTGGCCCTACGAATTTGCCGGCGCCGGGAGGGATGGAAGGCTTGGTAAGCCACAGGCGCGGCATCGATTCCACATGTGTGTTACAGGGCGCCTCCGAACACTGCGCTACACGGGCCCTATAACTGCCGTACTCTAACCAGTACAGACCCATATGAAATCGCATATGTGATGCATAATTGTGCACATAGACGAGACTGGGAATTGAATCTCTTTGACAGCAAGCGCCTTCCACAACCAAAT